TCCCTGTTGCTGCTGCACCATTGCAGGGTGAGAATCTGATTTACAGTACCACTGCACAGATGGAGAAACTGAGGAGGGAAAGGAGAAACTGAAGACCTTGCTCGAGTTAGGAGTGGGGTCAGGGCTGGCTTCCTGGTAGATCCTGAGCATGCATCCTGCATCCCATTGATTTGTCTGTAAATAAGATGCGGGCCTTCTTTAGAGGTTGGTGTGGAGGTCTGCCCAGGGTAGGCATTAGGGAAACAATAGACATCATGTTCCATGTTATTGTTGAGTAATCTTCCCTCCCCTCCCTCCCCACCCCTCCCCTTCTCTCCCCTCCCCCTCCAGTTTTCTAGAGTGGTGGATATGCATATCTGTATTGTTCTGTCAGTAGCTAGCAGTCAGCAGCCATGTATGGGCCATTGGACCCTTGAAATGTTAAAGTAGGCTGAAGGGCTTGCATTTTAGTTCTATTTATTAGACAGCCATGGGGCTGTTGGCGTCCACAGGGGGCCACCTGGCTGCAGAGAGGTCTACAGAAATCCATTCTGCCTCACCTGTCTTTGGTGTCTTAGGCAGCTGATGTGGCTGTGCCCAGTGCTGGACACCATAGAGGTCACGGAGGTGACAGACACACAGTCACAGATTCCACAGAGACTAGGTGGACGGGAATTACAGCCCTAGGTGGGAGGCCCTGCTACTGGGTAGAGCTGAGCAGGAAGCTGGGGTTCCTGAACCTGCGCTGTGAGGAGAAAGGGGGTGAGCTCGGGCAGGAAAAGCCTTTCTGAGGAGGGAATGACACAGACAGAGGATGACTCAGAAGAATGTGGACTATCCAGAGTGCTGGCAGGAAGCTGAGTGTGGTGACAGATGCTCGCAGCTCGAACGTTCGGGATGCCAAAGCAGGATTGCTGCGTTTGAGGCCAGCCTGGGCTATAGAGTGAGCTCCAGTCCAGCCTGGGCTATAGAGTGAGACCTTGTCTACAGAAAGACATGCTTGCTGGTCCTGGTCTCTAATCCCAGCTCTCCAGAGGTGCAGGCAGGAAGAGCAGGGATTCAAACTCATCTTTGTCTACAAAGAGAGTTTGAGGCCAATCTGTATATTGTAAGGCACTGATCAAAATGATGATGATGATAACAATAATAAAGTAAAATAAAATAAAAACAATAGCGTTTCTAAAAAGAACACAAATTGTACTGTGACTGGTCCAGACGCCAAGGAACACAGCGGAACCGATGTCGCAGGCATCAGAGGGTTCTGGTGCAGGATCTGTTGTGCTGTGCTACGGAAGTAGGGCAGACGAGTGAGAGAATGCCTTTGGTTCCTTCTGCCCCTTACTCACAGAGCTTCATCCCCTTGCTTTGCCTACCTGGAAGGGCTCAGGGTCTGATGTCCTTGTGAGGCAGGATCCCCAAGAGTTTGTCCTCTGAAAGTGTTCCCTAGTATCCACAGCCCTTCTGGAGGCCACGTCTCCATGGAGGTCGTCTGGCTTCCCTGGTTTTGTAGAGCTGGAGCCCACAGCGGCCTGACTTATTACCTGGTGCTCCACCCAGTACCACGTCATTCCAATCCAGGCCCCACAGTAGCCAAGAGCACTTCCTTAATGTGGCCCTGATGCTGTGTGCTGGACCAAAGGCTGCTTCTCAACAAGGGCTTGAGGCCTTGACTGCTCAGCGATTTCTAGCGGAGGCACAAGCTGGAAAACTGCTTGTCTAAGAACCATCACAGCTCAGGTATAAGGAGTGCCCCAGCCAGGGTGTCATCAAATGTGGCACTGGGCACATTGCTGACTCCTGTCCTCTGTCCCCCGTCCTTTTGTTCCTACTTGAACCCTAATGAACCAGATGCTTCATACACTTGCAGTTACAACCTCGGGCTGTGTTATCCCTGCTTCACCGCTTGAGGACACCCTAATTAGTCTAGGGAAAATTCCTTTGGGGCTGCTACTTCCTGTCCCTGCTCACTGGATGGCAGGAGGCATGAAACCCAATGCTTGTAGGGGACTTTAAGAGAAGGCTGCCTTGCCTTAACTCTGAGAAGAAGGCACTGTATAAGAAGGAGGCACAGCCTGTACTCCCTCGGGCTGACATCATGGTGCCAATTCCATATGGGTATCCAGAATCACTGTGACTGGATCAATTCTGGACAGAGTGGGAGCTCGAAGAATCTCAGAGATACCCTTTGAACTTTGAACCCTTAACTTTACCTACTCTGGAAGTCCTAGTTACTTTCTATGGCTGTGATAAAACATCATGACTGCCAGGAGATGGTGGTGCACACCTTTAATCCCAGCATTAAGGAGGCAGAGTTGGTGAGACTGTGTAACTTAGGTTTGCTTATTTTGCTGTGCTGGAGATTTGACCAATGGGCTCACGTGTGCTGGGCAAGTGCTGTACACTGAGCCACATCCCCAGGTCAAGAAAAGTGCTTGTTTTTTAGTAAATATCCCATACTGGTTCTGAGAACACTTGTTTAACTTTGAAGTGTGTGTGTGTGTGTGTGTATATGTGTGTATACATGTATGTATGCCTGTGAGCCTATGAGTGTGTATATGAGTGTGTGAGCATGTGAATGTGTGAATGTGTGTGATCTCCAAATATTTCTATTGGAAGGTCACTGGAAAAATTGGAGGCATTTTTATTTCAAACTGGCAGAGACACACTGAGGAGGACTGTCCTTGGGGTGCCCATACTGACTTCATAATCAAGCTGGGGGTTGTGTGGTTCTCTAAGCCAGTGGTTCTCAGCTTTCCTAACGCTATGGCCCCTAATACAGTTTCTTCATGCTATGGTGGCCTGTTTCATTGTTACTTCATGACTGTAATTTTGCTACTGTTATGAATCGTAACGTAAAGATCTGTATTTTCCAGTGGTCTTGGGTGACCCCTGTGAAAGGATCATTCGACCCCCAAAGCGTCATGACCCACATGTTGAGAACCACTGCTCTAGACTCACACTTTGGGGAAAACACCTTTGTAGGGCTTCTGTGTGCTGACTATGGAGTCCCCAACTTTGGGTTAGTCCCAGCCCTGTGGGTCAGATTGAGCTTTTCCTAACTGCTGGAGGCTTGTGCGGTGAAGCCAGGCAAAGGACCTTCTCTCTCAAAGAAGAAAAGAAGACACAGGCAGGCTAAGGAGACCCAGAGGGAGAGTGGATTTGTGGTCCAGCCTGCAGCTCCCTGCCCTTCTCTCCTGGCTGCCAACTGCAACTGATTGTCTTATCCAGACTGCGAATGGCTTGTAGGATGTCGTGAGTGTTCTGAGGGGGGAAGGCTGTGACCTCAACCTCTCTCGTAAGGTCAATGGCGGAGCAAAGCCAAGCTCTAGCATGGAGCTGAGAATGGTGGATGGTGGGGCCTTGGAGCTCTGTTCTTTGACTCCTCATGGGCCTCTAAATAGTTCCCAGTTGGGCCCTGTTGTGTTTGAGTGTGAACTGCCCCTTGAAGGCTCATGTGTTTCCACACTGGCTCCCAGGCTGGTAGTGCTGTCTGAAGGGCTGTAGAATCCTTTAGGAGGTGGCATGTCATCAAGGATGTGGGTCACTTGGGGGAGGGCCTTGAAGCTCCAGCTGGCCCTGCTTCTGTCCACACTCCCTTCTGTCTGTGGGTGGAGCGTGCCCTACTGCTCACACAGCTGCTGCCAGCCCCCTGTATGGTGGACTGTGTCCCCTCTTAACTGTGAGCCCAAATAAACCCTTCCTTCTCAAGGTGCTTTCGTCAGGTATCTTGCCACAGCTCCCACAAAAGTAACTAATACTCGTCCCAATGTTAGGGTTACAGTGGGATTTGGTGGAGGGTGAGCCCAAGGTCTAAGACATTCCATTCACCACTCTCCAAAGCCTCCTGTTGGGATGGGCTTCACTTCTCCTGTCTGAGTTGGGCCCAAGATGCCTGCAGATTGGAGTATCTGTCCTCTGAGAGGTGTATAGGTTCCCTCTTTCAGTGTGCATGAGGGCTAGGGACTTAGCGTGCTGTTGAGAAATAAAGCTATTTAAGTGGTAGGCATTATATTTTGATCCATGAACCTGTATGTTTCCAAAACCCCCCTTGAAGACAGCAGCAAGCAAAGCCTGGCAGATTTTGTTTTTGTTTTTTTAAAGTATGCTAAAATCATGTAGTTCTAGAAAGTGTGAGAAACCATCATCCTCTGTGCTGCAAGTTCCGTTCTCTCTGTCCCAGCAAGGCGGCAGCTTGGGAGCTTTCTGGGGCAAGCAACTGTTCCATGTTCCCTTTCAAGAAGTGGTCATAACAGGTCTTCTCACACTTAGCTCTGGCTATGAGATTTATTTTATCATCATCCATCATCATCATCATCATCATCATTTGTGTTTTTCAAGACAGCGTTTCTCTGTGTAATAGCCCTAGCTGTCCTGGAATTCACTCTGTAGACCAGGCTGGCCTCAAACTCACAGAGTCCACCTGCCTCTGCCTCCCAAGTGCTGGGATTAAAAGCATGAGCCACCACACTGGCATATGAAGTTTATTTAAAAAAATCAGAGTGACTTTTTTTTAACCCAGGGACCCATGGTTTTCCCACACCCTATTATCTTCCTGAAAGACTCTGTTTACTTTCCCATCCCAACCCCACCTCCATATGTCCAAAGTCTGTCTGGATTTAAAGACCAGGGGAAATGCCAGCATAAGCTTCAGCGTCTTGCCAGAGCATGGGCAGGTGTCACGAGAGATCAGGGTGCGAATTTCAGCTCCAACAACTGTGACTTCAGAGAAATAACTCAATCTCCCTGAACCTCACTCCCTGTGGCTGCAAGGCGGAGGGAGGCCGCAGTTCCACCTCAGTGCAGAGCTGAAAGCAGATGTTTTGTAACTCGTGAACAGACCTGTTCTCTCTTCCCCTTTCTGGGACAGGAGACAGCTCAAAGATATTTGGTGACAACCAGGAAGGGCTCCCTCTGCGTTCTGTGTCTAATGACCACCCACTCAAGGCCATCCAAGCACTCTGACATCCCTGCCTGGCCCCTTTCTTCCCTGCTTCCCACACCAGCCACCAAACAGCATTCTGTTGGCTGATTTATAGTGTTTATTTTCTGTCTGCTGCTAGCAAGCAAGCCCACAAGGTCAGGGGATTTTGTCAGTTCACTTTTCTCTGATGCCCAAGGCAGTGTCTGGAACTTGGCAGGCACTCAGTAAGTATTTGGAGAGTGGCTTTGGACGAAGTCTCTCTGGCTTCCTTGGGCGTCCCAGGAGCCACTGAGAGCTGTCCCAGGTGCTGTCTTGATCCTGCCTGGCTCTGCAGGAGAAGCCTGTGCTCACCGTCAGCTGTAGGCTGCTGTCAGATCCTGGGTACTCCGTCCCTCCTCAGCCCTCAGCTACTGAGCCAGCCAGTCAGAGGACAGTGAGGAGCCCCTAAGGCAGAGGTGAAGGGCATGGAGACCTTAGGAAGCCAACTCCCAAGGTTCATCAGGAATAAGACAAATTCCAGACTACTTGTCCATCCCCCATTCCAGGCCTCTTCCTCCTGATGTCTGTGCCCAGCTTCTGGTCCTCCAACGATGCATTCTGTTCCATCCTGTTCCTTGAAGACTTTTTTGTTGTCTGTTTTTTGAGACAGTGTTGGTATTACAGATGAGTGCCATTGAACACCTTTGACTCCAGCCTCCAGTCCTTGCCCCCTGACTCCTTGCTTAGGCAACCGACAGTCAGTTAACAGTTTGATCTCAAGCACCAATGTCTCTGGAAGGCCTTGCTGGATGCAGGCAAGTCCCTGGCATCCCCTTGGGCAAGAGTTGCCAAACTTATTACTACCCTTCCCCACTCATTTTCCCCACTAGACAGTGAGTTCAGGAGTCAGGGTTCCAGAGCTGTTTTGCCCAGCTCTGCATGGTTGGAGCTTAGCTAGGCACAGTGCTCCGCCGAGAGAACAAGTTTGGTTAGTCATTGTGCAGTGAATGAGGAAAAAGAAAGCCCAGAGAGAACACCCGCTCTGCCTCCAGCTGTTGACAGCTGTGTGATCCGCAGTAAGCCAGTCTCCTCCCCAGTGTCTATCGTACATGTAGTGACAGGCTGCCCTTAGCTACTGTCCCATTGTGGCTGCATCTGATACTAGCTGGACACTTAGTACTTGGCCAGGTGATGAATACATGGTACCTACATTAATGATGGCATGAAGCTCCCATCATAATCTCTCCTCATTTGTTTCTGATTTCCAACCTTCAGTCTGGCTTCATTTTGGGGGTAGGTTCTGGTGTTGGGAGAGGGCTGAGAAGAGACTAGGCCATGCGACAGGTTTCTCGGCCCCAAAGGAGGAGGCTGACACACAGCAACAATCCCAGAGTTCCTCTTCTGAGGGTGTTGTATGTGCATGCATGTGCAGGTGCTCATGCTCGTGTGTGTGCATGCATGGAGACCAGAGGTCCATGTCAGATTTGTTTGTTTTTCAAGACAGCTCTGGCTGTCCTGGAACTCTCTCTGTAGACCAGGCTGGCCTTGAACTTAGGGATCCGCCTGTCTCTGCCTCATGAGTGCAAGATCACATCCAGCTTAGGTCTTATTATTTTTGAGGTAGGCTCCAATGAAGCTCAGGCTGGTCTCAAACTCACTGTGTCGGCGTGGAGGACCTTAAACTTCTTTTCTCCTGCCTTACCCCCTAAGTGCTAGGGTTACAGATGTGCTTCATTTTATGTAGTGCTGGGGATTGAACCCAGGGCCTTGTACACACCAGGCAAGGACTCTACCAGTTGAACTATATCCCCAGATCTCCAGTCCCTAACCTGGAGCTCACTGGCTAGCTAGTCCGCCCAGGAGCTCCCCAGGAGCTGGGGTTACAGACCCAGACCACCACACGCAGCTTTTCTAACAGGTGTTGTGGGTTAAGTCAGTGCCTCAAGCTTGCTGAGCAAGCACTTTCCTGACCAAACCTCCTCCCCAGCTCCCTTCAGAGTCCCTTTTTGCTCTGCTTTTGCATTTTGTCTCATTGGGCTCAAATGTTAGAAGACTGTGAAGGTCAGCTCAGTACTGAAGTCACAGGACCTGGTATAGACTAATAGAGAGCAGGCAGCTAGAAAATGTCCCTTGAGTTATGTAAATGGCGCCGTCAGTCTGCCTGCAGTTATCAACTCACCCGATCCCCAGTGGATGCTCAGTTCAGTGAGACCCTGGCTGCTTCCCGTTGGCTCCGCTTGGCAGGGCCAAAGGCAGGCTCCAGAGAGGCAGGCAGCTTACAGGGAAGCGGTGTGGGCTTACTGAAGTGGGGTCCCTGACCTCATTGAGAGATAAGCCAAGTGCACCCTGGAGCCCTGGCCCTCTTGGCTGCCTGCTTGCCTCTTTCTCCGGGTCCTGCTTGAGTATTTAGTGACCCGTGGCCTGAGCAGACTGGGCTGCTGGAGAGGGCCAGGGTCCTTGGGGTCCCCAAGCTTGGCTCCCCACAGCAGCTTTGGAGTTTGATCACCGTCTTAGCCCTTTGACAGCAGGTAGGTAGTCCGATCCAGAGTCCTGGGACAGAATAGTCCCCTTGCAGTCCCTCTGGGAGGATTTGATTTACTGGGTGGCTGAGGCCCTGAGCTATTTCTCATTTTGTGAGTCCAGAGTACTTTTTGTCTTATAGCTATTTCCTTCTAAGCCTAAGACACACAGAAGAGGACGAGTCTGATGGAGAAACCTGGAAAGCCTGGAGTTTTGCTCTAATTCTATTTCCATTGTGGGGTCCCCGATCAAAATTCTTTTCATGGGGAGAACCCTGAGGTTTAGAGAAATGTCCCTAGGAGTCTAGCCGAAGGAGGTCCCTTCCTTCCCAGGCTGCTAAGGAAGATCACTGTATCAGGAGAGCTCTGTGACCCTCAGCAACCCATCCAACCCTATAGCCTCAGTTGGTTTTGTCTGCTTGTTTTTTGTTTTTGTTTTTCCTTCCTATAATGGGGACAAAAAGACACTTTTCTAATCATCTTGGGCTGATAGAGAGGCAGAGTTTTCATAAATGTCTGGTGTGTAGGACTTTCTGCTGAGTAGAAGGAACAGACTATTTACCCTTTAACCCCTAAAGTGAACCAATGTCCTAAATGCTGACCATGTACACACTGCTGGGGGACCATGGAGACATGCATTTATGTGTTCAAAGAGTTAGAGCTCCCAGCCGTTAGCTGTCTGAGAATCCCAAACATGACTTCTTGATGCCATTACTATCCTTACCTGGGAATCCTCAAACTGGAATAGGTTTCCTGGGGGCTGGGATAGGTCAAAGGTTGTGTAGGTGGGGAAGACACTGTCACCGAGGGTCTGCTGAGGGTTGGCCGCCATGCACATATGAAGACAACTACCAAGAGGTATGTGGTGGCAGTCCGTTCTACACCGAGGTTCAGCAAAGGGAAGCAGGGGAGATGGTCCCGCCCCTGGAGGAGCCCAGTCCCGATGCTTTAGACTTAGGCTCACTCCTGTCTTCCTCCCATGACTCTGCAAGCATTCACTAAGTTCATGCACAGGTGGAAGGATTTGATTTTAGTCTTTGTCTCTCCAGCTTCCTCCTCTCTGGGTCTTTCCCCTCTCACGGTCGACATGTCAGAGGGCATCAAATGGAGCTGGGTGTGGGCTGGGGAGACTGGCTGGCATCCGGAAGTGAGGGAGTAGGCTGTTTGTTGAAACTTGGTGAGGAAGGAGGTGGTCACCCCTCAGCAATATCACTTTACATTTCTTAAGAGCTTCATTTACTTTGTTAGGGAATATATCTAGCTGAGTGATGCCTCTCTTAGACGTGGGCAGGTATTTTGTGGTGAGGTGAACTTCGTGGGTATTGATGTGTAAAAGTCCCTGTCAGAGAAAGGGCAGGGCGAATGCTGGGACGTGCAACAGGCATGGGACCAGGAGACCTGGGTTTAGTTCCTGTGCAGAAACCTGTCGACTGTGTGATCTAAGCCATTCTGTCTCAAGGGCAGAAATGCACAGTGTTGAACAATGGCATGGATAAAGACTTTCATGGTTGCCATAGAGACAGCAGTCCATCACGTAGGAAGCATGACGATGATAGCCCTCCTTAAAACTCCTCTTGTTTGTAATGACAACTTCAGCTGCTGCTGCTCGAGCCTCAACTCTGCTTTCATTTGGAAAGAGCACAGCAACCCCTGCGGATATGTTGGTGGCCTCTTTTGTGTTCTGAATTTCAAAATTTTATTCTGTCTATGTTTAAGGATGCAGGGTGCTCACACAGTGTAGAGTCATGAATTCTAATGATAACAGTGCTTTAAACGAACTCTCAATGAGCCCTCACATGTGCCAGGCACTGAGTTTGGCACTACGCCGGCCCCTCCTCATTTAACTGTCATTCCTCTGAAGTGGCTATTAGCACGTGGCTCATCTCTACACAGGAAACTGAGGTGGAGGGAACATGTAGCTTGCTTCCTGGGTCTCAGAGTCCCTGGCACCGCATACATGGGCTTTAATGAGCCATAGAGGAGTGGCGGGGGCGGGGGTCGGGAGATGGTGACACTGAGACCCAGAGGCTAGCTGCAAAGGGAAGAAAGCATGGGAGGCATGGGTTACCTGTGTTGCTGAGGACCGGGATGCCTGGGGAAGCCAAACAAAACAGGGCAGGCAAGCTGGCTCAGTATGTAAAGGCACTTGCCACCCAGCTCCACGACCTGAGTTCAGTCACCAGAACCCTTGTGGTAGAAGGAAAGATTGACCTGGACAGGTTTTCTTCTGATCTCCACGGAAGTGCCACAGCATGAATTCTCTGCGTGGGTCTCCATCTTTTGGTCCGTGTCTCTGTCTTTCTTTTAAAGCAAATAAATGAAAGCCAAACCCCAAACAAGAAACCAATGAGCAAAACCCCAAACACACAAGCAAAACAGAAGACCACGGCTTGCTAGATCCAGCAGGCAGTCTGTGACTCATCCCTTATCTTACAGATAGGGAAACTGAGAGCCAGGGAAGGGGCGGGGTGCCACTGTTCCAAAGAGAGTATCAGGAGAGCTCCCCAAGTCAGGGAAGACTCTCTCCGGAGGGCCTGCCATTGGTGGGAGAGGACAGTGGGGACAAAGGTGCGCTGTGGTGACCCTTGCCTCCCACCAGCCTGGGTGGGCTCTGATGGGACCCCCTGGTGGGTAACGAGAGCCTCCAAGAGCCCCAGGGCTCTTAAAGTCTGTGTTTGTTTAGTGGGAAAACAGGCACCCCTCCCAGCCTGGTGGGTTCCAAATCACTGAGCTGGATACGGAATGGAGGGGACACTTGTGTCCCCTGAATGTACTTCAGGAGAGAAGACTGAGTGGGGAAGGAAGGGGCTGCCATCTGCAAAGCCCAAACTGGAGCTAGAAAGTTGTGATATTAGGGTCTTACCAGATACTGCAGGAGTGCAGGGCTACTTCCTCGAACCCCTTTATGCCTTCTCTTACCCTGTCAGGGATAGAAATTCCATCGCAATCATTTCACACAGGAGGACACTGAGATGCCTTCTGACATCAACAGGAGGGACGGAGGGAGGGTTTGCGCCCAAGCTTCCTTTCAACAGCTAAAGTGATGTTTGGTGAAAGGCCAAAGGGACTGTTTGCCATGTTTATAAACACCAAACTCTTGACAAGTATTGTCATGCTGGAGCACAGGTTAGCTAGGAACTGTTTTGCATGGATCTGAGGGCTGAACAAACAGATAAGTAAAGTGAGGATGGTAAGACCCCGCCTACTCTCTGTGAGACACCCTGGAAGTGAGCACAGGGGTAGGCTGAGGTGGACTCTGTGCAGCTAGTTAGAGGTGGAGTCACAGTCTCAATTGCGGTTATCTTACTATGCGCAGATTGACACAGAAATATATACACTTTACATATATATACGTGTGTGTGGGGTGTGTGTATGTGTGTGTGTGTGTGTGTGTGTGTGTGTGTGTGTGTGTGTGTGTGTGTGTGTGTGTGTGCAGGTTAAGAATCTATTATCCCAGTTGCTCGGGACCAGAGTGGTTTAGATTTTTAGTTTTTAAAATATTTTTCAATATTTACACCGAAGTAATTATTTGAGCATCTCTACTCCAAAAAATTGCAATTCTAAAATGCTCTAAAATCTGAAAATGTTTTGCATCCTCTTGCTTCTGGAAATGATTTGGGTTTTGGAGTAGTTCAGTAGTTTGGCCTTTGAGGTTAAGGACTTATATAAGCTCTCACTGTGTCCACCAGAAGGGCCCAGGAGCAGTGTGGAGGAAACCAGAGATCCCGGTAGAATCAGCTGACTCCGGGACTGAATCAAAGAAATGGATGACTTTTTGTTTGTTTGTTTTGGTTTCAGAAAATGGATTAGCTTTAAGATATTCAAATGATGCAGCTGAGAGAAAGAACAGGCTTTCCCTTTAGATTCTGATAGACAGTTAGGAATCCTTCCAATTCCGTGTAAGCACAAAATCCAGGTCTGGCATGTCACTGGCTCATTTTCTTTTTGTTGTTGTTGTTGTTGCTGTTGGCTTTGTTTTGTTTGTTTGTTTTTTGGTTTTTGTTTTTGTTTTTCAAGACAGGATTTCTCTGTGACTTTGGAGGTTATCCTAGAACTCGCTCTTATAGACCAGGCTGGCCTGGAACTCACAGAGATCTGCCTGCCTCTGCCTCCCAAGTGCTGGGATTAAAGGCGTGCGCCACCATCTCCCGGCAATGTACCGGCTCGTTTTTTTAATGATGAATTCGCGGCTGATGAAGATGCACACCCTGAAGCAAGCCACAAGACGGCTGTCCTGTGCAGAGCGTGTTTACTCGGTACCCCATCCATCCACCTGGGCTCATTCCCCGCTGCGCAGGGTTTGGGTTCCTTGGGTCTTCCTCGGCATTTAACTAACTAACTCTTTGTTGGTTGAAGGTGCTGGGACTATTTCTCCATTACATAAACTAGGAGGAGGGCTGCTGGGGCACACCTGTCCGCCTGTCCGCCTGTCTGGACGCCCACTTTCAGCTCCTTCTAAGGGGGCTGAATGCCTGCATTGGGGCAGCAGAGCAGGGGACATTCCAGGACTCCCTGCCTCTGAGGTAGGACCAAGGCTGGCGCAGGCTGGGCGGTGGGAGCGGCTTCCAGGAAAGCTCCTCGACCAACAAACAGACCGTATCCCCCTTCTGAGGCTGACTTGTCTGGATGTTGGAAAGTGCTCCAAAGAGCTAGCTCACTGTTGATGGGGGAAGGCATCTGTGGGGCCAGGCCCAGGTGCATGCCAGCACACTATTACCATGCCGAAGGATAGAATTCAAAACATGGGCCTTTTTCTCTCCACATGAAA